GTTAAAAAAATATATGTTATTTTTTTAATAAAAGTATCTATAATAAAATTTGTTATATAAGATAAGTTTAAAACTATTAAAAAACTTACATATTTACACTATTAAATTAGCCAGAAATATATCAAGTAAATCTTAAGATAACGAAAGATAAAATGCACACTATTAAATTAGCCAGAATTATATTTGTTGATATATATCAAGTAAACTTACGTAATTTTTTTTATAAAATGCACACAAAAGATAATGAAAGTGAGTAGGTCTGAGTATCAGATTTTCGGGTAGGTACAGATCGGTTCTTTTCAAGTTCAAAAAATTTGAACATAACTAGGTATTTGAAGTTTTTTGGTTCAAGTTCGAGTTGGTTCCCTTTAAATTCGGATCGGTTCGAATTCATAATTAAATATCTATAAAATCTCTGTAATAGTTGGGTACGTAACGGGTCCGGATTGGTTTGATTATCTAGGATCCAAAAGGATTTGATATACCTAAAACCCCCAAAAATATTGAAACATGAAAAATACCCAAAATCCAAACAAATACCCAAAATATTGAAATTCCCAAAAAGACCCAACTTGAACCGATTCTTTTGACTCGAGAAATTATAAAAAAAGGTCCATTTTTTGAATACCCAAATTTTTTTAAAAAAATATTGAAACTTAACCCGAAATCCAAAAATTAAATCGAAAACCTGAACCCAAAACTTAAAAAGTATTTGTAATACCAAAAACATATCTAAAATACTCAAATATATATACATAAAACATTTCAGGTACTTAGGTACCCGATCAGATCCCGGGTATGATCTTGACTCGAAAAGAGACCTGTAAATCCAAAAAGTTGAATATGTAAACTTGATGATGTTGATGTTGTACCCACGAAGTATGGAAAGTGCCAAACATTAGGAACAACCCGGAGAGGAGTTAGGAACAAGAACACGAAGAAGTGAGAACCACTTAAATAGAGGAATTGTCAAAATACTAATTCACAAATTTTGTATATAATCCAAATAAAAACCCGCGCTTTTATAGCGCGGGTCAAAATCTAGTCAGTATTTAAAACTAAAATAATTAACTCAAATTCTCGATTTTATATTTATTTTGATATGCTATCTAAAAATCACGCACCCAACTGGAATAACTTGAATCCAAATTAATTCTGGTTACAAAATAGTTTTTGGCATGTGTTACAACTTTTATTCAAATTGAATCGGTTTTAACCTAACCAAATCTGAATTGTATTTTAATAATACTTGAAGAATGTTAAATCTAAAAATTCAAAAATCCGAAATGAACCCGAAGGCTCATGGCTAAACATACCATAATAATACTTTATGAAGAAAGGCTGGGGAAGATAATTCAAAATGTAAACTGAAGAGATGGTTTCCTCAGGCCATACCTCGACATGCCTTCATAGTTTAGGTTTTGATTGGTGACATGAGTTACCTTTGGTTAAATAAAATAATAACTTTTAATTTTACTGCAAAGTTACAACATAAACTTACAGTTTTTACAACATAATTTTTATTGCAAAGAACATCGAACTACAAATCATACTGTAATACTACACATCACCAATCGGAGCCATAGTTGGCTTTGGAGGATAGATTAGCTACTGGTGTTCGAATGAGACAGTGGGGATCACCCAAGGGTGTATTTCTGTGGGGAGAGGGATGAAAGTAGGGAGCATTTGTATTTTGCATGTCCTGTCACGTTCACTAAATGGATCACCTAGCTAATTTGTTGGGTACAGCTTCTCCATATTGGTCTTCTACGGTGACAGCTCTATTAAGACCGTGTCGAAATAAATTGGTATCCAGACTGTTATATATCTCACCTGGAGAGAAAGGAATTCTCGACGACACCTAGGAACTTGGCTGAGCATTGAGACAATGATCAAAAGCGCATTGACAAATTCATCCGCAATAGGATTCTGTCACTAAAATAAAAGAGTACTCATAAGTTGGAGGAGCTTCTTAGACGATGGCTGGAAGTTTATTGAGGTTAAGAGTTTGGCTACATAAACTTTCTTACATTTTGCTGAGTATTTAGTTTCACAAACTATCCTTGTAAATGTCCTTTCATTCTTTGATTAATTACTATAAAATTTTATAATTCAAAAAGTAAACTGAAGATAGTTTGAATGAAAAAGTTTTAGAACTTAAAAGCTATTCACAAATACAAGCGAGTAGGAAAAAAAATAGAGAGAAATTATATTGGGGCAATTTGCCTAATATTCATAAGGAAATCTTTAATTAAGAATATAGCGATAGCAGTTTGATTTGACATTTACACACGCATCTTGACAATATTAACCTTTCACTCGCTTACGAGTGATTATGAGGCGAGTGGAGTGGAGTGAAGCATGAAAACCATAACACCAGTGTTAGGAGAAAGAAGAGGATATGTGACAAAGTGGACTATACTTTTACTGAGGATAATATACACCATACTTGGAAACATAAGATAACGTCTGAAGAAAACAGAGTTCGTCTAACTATAAATGGGACGTACAAAACGGAGTTCTTCTAAGTGTAAATGGCAATGAGAAGCATATATAGAAAGTGGTTAGTTGACTATACTATAGGGGGATAGTATAATAAATAATGCCCAACATACAATATCTGACAAAATAAGGTTCGGATAAGAGGAGATATGAAATACAGAGGGAGTTGATTATAGTATATTATACTAGACGTTGAATAACATAGTGCATAATCATAAGGATAGTATAGCATGTTAACCCAACCGAGTGTACACCATACTGAGAAACAGAAGACTATACTATAAGAGGGATAGTATAGTAAAAAAGAAACAACTTAAAATATCAGACAAAAGGACTTCTGGACTAAAGGGCACATGAAATAACACATTTTCTATTATCGCAAGAAGTTATTGACGCATGTGGGTAAGTGGAATGAAGATGGGATCGTCTGTAAATCACAACGACAATACAAAATGGCAAATAACTTGAACATGTATGAAGTAAAGAAGAACCGACGTCAATATGCGTTATGGGGTAAATTGTATGGCTCCCCATTAACATTATTAGTCTAACAACATATTGTCTGATGGCAAAACATTACTGAAAATGTATGGCTCCCCATTAACATTATTTGTCTGAACTGCGACTCTGCAATCTTCTCCTGCCACGCATCAGAGAGTGACTCTTTTATCACCTCCACCCATCTCAAATTGAAGTAGTTATTTATTCTCTTCCAGCCAGTTGGTTTGAACCCCGTCTCAAACAACTGCTCCGGTAAGCCAAATTCCTCCATAATCTACAACAAAATATAAAACATTAACAACCGTTCTATATTCGCGAAAAGAAAAAAACATATAACACAACAACAAACTTCCTAAATTGTTAGATATCTAACAACATATTGTCACGTTAATATATCTATACTATAAGGTTTTTCCTATAGTATAGTAACGCAAGTCTCCACCGGTCTATACTATAAACACATAGCTTTAGACAACTGTATACACATCTATACATCTTACCACATATACTACCATCTATACACCTCTATACATGCAACACATTTATACTATACTAGAAACACATAGATAAAGAGTAGTCTATACGGTTATATACATGTTACCACATATACTACCATCTATATATGCAAGACATCTATACTATACTAGGTTTACAATATTTTAGTTCCTGGCGGATAGAAATCTATACACATCTCTACATGGTAACACACGAAACCAAGAGTAATCTACTAACTCAAGGCTCAAACGGTCTATACTATTAACACATAATATAGTTCTATACTGTTAACATGACACCAGGTACATGTACTAACCAAAGTCTACTCCTACACTAACACAAACCTCCATCGTTCTATACTACAGATACATATCTATAGACACATCATTATCCTCAACACATCAGTTTACCAAAAACCACAAATCGTGAAACCCAGGTTTGAAATACATTCTGGGAACACACTAAACTAATATTCAACCAATAACACAATTCATCACCAACAGTACTCACACTTTTGTCATAATAAGTTATATTAGACGACATGCAAGTGAGTCTTGCGGGAGAGAAAAATTAAGACCATTACCGGCACACCGTTCGAACACAATCGCCGGAATTGCGCCGGAGGGAGTAAGATCGACTAATTAAGAAAGGTACTTACAAGGTTTACCTTTCAGATATCTCAGGCGAAGCGTAATCGTACTCTCCCCCCCACTCTCCCCTTACAAAATACCGTCACCTCCGTCTCAATCGGTTCGAGAAACCAATTGACGGCCACACTCTTCTCCGTACGAAATGTTCGCAGAAGGGTTAACTCTCAACCGCGATTTACTTTAATTTTGTAAGCGGGAAAAGGGATAATTGTTTTTTAGGGTTACAAAACAGAGGGAAACTGATGGCCACGCGCATAAATCGGGTATAATGGGAATTATATGCAATGTATCATAGCATTTGTTCTAAAAATCGGCCGCCTAGGCGCTAAGCGACCCTCTTCCGCCCCGATTTATGCCAAATTGCTGTAGAAAATTGGTCGTCTGATTTTAATCCGTCTAGACCGCCTAGATGACCACCTAGCCGCCTAATCTGTTTTTTTTTTAAATAATATTTTTATCTATTTATTTGTTTTAAAATTTAATAAATTATAATTTTGATGAAATTATATCATATTAACTTTGTATATTCTATTTGTGTGTGTTTATAAGATTCTAAACATGAAAATGTGTTAATGTTATAAACAATTAAAGATTAATATATCTTATAACATATCAAATAGTCTAAAAATTTTGTCCTGTATAATTCTCGCTTAATTTCCGATTTTTTCTCTGGGTGCTAGGCTCAATCGAGCAACCCGACTAGCGCCTAGCGCATTTTCAAACATGGATAATAACATACCCATGGACTTACTATGGGTATGGAGTTGTTTTTCTGAATGTAATGGTTACTAGCCCAAATTCTCCAATTATATTCCCGCGCATCAGTACAATGCGAAACTTGTGGTAAGTAATCAAAAACCATTTTGTTATCCTTTAATCTCTTTCTCTCTCTTCTGATCTTCTCTCATGGCTACCTCATCTCTACCTCTCTCTCTCCCATTCCCTCTCCGATCTCCTATTACCACTCGAACTCTAACCTTCAGACACTCCCATCTCCTTCTCTCTCTCCCCTCTTCCATCGTCTGCCTCTCCACTCAAAACCCCTCCGGCTACGACCGCGAAGAGTCTCGGTGGCTCCGGGAAGAGCAGAGGTGGATTCGCGAGGAGCAAAGATGGCTTCGGGAGAAACAACGCTGGACACGCGAGCGTGAAACCCTTTTACAAGAGATTGCAAATCTCCAGCTCCGAATCGAATCCCTAGAAACTCAGCAGCAGGGGACTTCGGTTCCAGATACGATATCGAACATAGCTGCTCTGCTTCAGGTTCTCAAGGAGAAGAATCGGATTTCAGAGAGTGGTTCAAGCGCAAAGCCGATGGTGTTGGAGAATACGAGAGAACCTCTCGAGGAAGAAGAAGAAGAAGAAGAGGAAGAAGAGGAAGTGGTAGTGGAGAAGCGGGTGGTTGCTGAAGAAAAAGTTAGGGTTTCAGAGCCGGTGAAGAAGAGGAGGAGGGTGACTTTGAAAGTGGGAAGCGAAGGTGAAGAGGTTCAAGCAATGCAGGTCTGCTTGCAATATCACAAATCCTTCTCTCACTTTTAGAACCAAAGGCGAGTTTATATCCATTGCCGTTAGTCTTGATTGCATAAAAAAAAAACTGAAATTTGATCCATCTATAGAAGATGAAAATGTTTTAAGATTAGGCTGATATGATTTATACTGTTGAAAGTGTTTTGATGATTTCTTATGTGAATGTTCTTTTGTCCATGTGATAGGAAGCTCTGCTGAAATTAGGATTCTATTCGGGTGAGGAGGACATGGAGTTTTCCAGCTTCTCAAGTGGGACCGCAAGAGCTGTTAAGACTTGGCAAGTATGTTCCTTCTTTGTTCTCTAGCTCCTCACCTTTGGTTTCTCTGATCTGTTTTGTTGTTGAGTGATTTTGACACGGTTTGTGTGTTTACTTTGAAAGGCATCACTTGGTGTCCGTGAGGACGGGGTAATGACAGAAGAGCTCCTTCAGATGTTGTTCATGGATCAAATAACTGATGAAGACCTAAAGACAGATAAGGTTGAAACGAAGCAAGAGGTATAAACTGAAACTTCTAACATCTTTTCTACCACAATTATTTTAATCAAACACTTTTTTGGCAAATACTTTTAGAAACGTAGCAAGCCGTTGTCTATCTAATGTGGACTCGCATTTGTATGCTTTCGCCTCAAAAGCTTGTTGGTTGTCTATTGTTATCATCTTTACTATGTCATTACATGAATGTTAGTGAGTTCTTTTACCAATCTGAAGTGTCTAATATGAGTCTTTTGATAAAATGGTGGACAAACTACATTAATATGTTTGAGATTATAGGGACCATGAATATTCTGAGATGAAGATGTTAAAGGAGTTGTTCGTTCTGCTGAACCATTTTTTTCATTTTCTCTAGACCAAGGAAGCTGGTAATGGAGCAGCAGTAAAGACGCAAGTCTCTGAGAAGCAGCAGTCAATCATAAAAGATCAAGGTAACAGAGGAAATGAAGTTTCTCAACATCGGGTTTTCCTTCTCGGAGAAAACAGATGGGAAGATCCCTCCAGGCTCAACAAACCGACTAACACAAGTAATTCTACAGATACCAAAACGAAGTGCGTCACTTGTCGTGGGGAGGGTCGATTGATGTGCCTAGGTAAATGAAATTTCATCTTTTAAAGTAGCCAACACCTCACGCATAGATTTGTAGTAAGATTATTTGACTTTAGTGATAAAAATATATAATTTATTCGGATTTTGGTTGATGTAGAGTGCGATGGAACCGGTGAACCAAACATTGAGCCGCAGGTGAGCAAAATCAAAACGATCTCGCTTTGATTATGTGTGTGTATATTCCAAGTAAGCCTAAAGCGAATAAGCTTCTCTCCAATGTTGTATGGTTGTAGTTTATGGAGTTGGTTGATGAAGATGCCAAATGTGTGTACTGTGAAGGTCTTGGCTATACAGTTTGCGATGTCTGTGAAGGTAAACCAGCCGTATAATCAGGGTTCATGGTTTAATATACAGACCACATTTACTTATCTGTAATAAATCATATATGTTTTGTTATGAACACAAAAATGTACAAACAACTCTTCTGTATATTAGCTGCTATTAGTCTTGTTATAAAAGAGAGGTCTTGTCCAGTGGTGGATTAACGTTTTAAAGAGTAAACTTCTCAAATCCTTGTTGAAAATGTTTAACAACGTTGCAGCAATATGAAAGATGGATTGGCTGTCACAAAACAGGTGCATAGGTATAATAAGGGATGTAAAAAGTGGCACATTTGAGTTTGCTATAAGTTTGTTGTCAGCTTCAGCCGAAGAACAAGAAACAAGAGTTAATGTTTTTAAGTCTTTCATGGAAATGGAGAAGTTCGAAATACAGCATATGTTTAGGCGACAGTATATAGTTAAACCTTAAGAAAATCGTCAAAACACCAAAATAAACTATTCTCCTCGAGATCGACAAAGTTCTACCAAATAAAGGACATTGCTACCTACGCATTTGTTGATCTTTTCTCAGAATATTAAGCCACAATTAAAGGTGAGACAAGGACCAACTCGATTGCTACTTATTAGTGCCAATCAACTATATCACCGAATGTGGTGGAACCAACTCCTTCCCAGACTTCACTATGTCCCACTTCTTCCGAGTCAACACCTTCCATGTCACGGTCCCAAAACCCTGAACCATTTGCATCTGTTGGCAAGTTTTATGAGGATCAGACTTTATAAAAGAGTTTTGTTTTAAGAAGTATTTTATAGTCACTCACAATGGTTATAACTCGGTTTCTGCTTCTTACAACTAGTGTTGTTGCTTGCTCTTTCACCTTCCACCTCGTGCATGGGCTTTGATACTTTTGAGTTGTAGTCTCCAAAGACTAAAACAGGCTTTCTCGTTCTATCCATGCTCTCCATACCTTGGAAAGGATCTTTTCTCTTCTTTGATAATCTATCATCCTTCATTACAATGATATCATCATCATCATTGATCTCATCAGTAAAGCATGTCGTCAAAAGATCAACCTCTTCAGCAGTAGCTTGATCCAAGGGCTCAGGGGCCCTACTCATAACTTGTTCACCAGTTATCTGGGTCTCTCTTGGCTTAAACTGCTGAAGCATTGTCTTTTCAAGACTAACATCCCCGATTTTCTTTTCAGACTTGGAGCTAAACAATGAAGTGAAAAGTCTTGGCCTTTGCTGTTCAGGAATCAATTTCTAAAGCAATAACAAGAGGGTTAATCATTAAAATTCTACCATTACATTAGAGATTTAAAGATTTCAATGTCCACCTATCAATCAAAATATTGTAATGCTGAGTTATTACTTACTTCAACGTTGTTGGGCTTAAAGAGCACAGATTTGTTCAACTTGCGATCGAGAAACTCTGAAAAGGAAGCGCACTTGTCCACTTTCTTCGACGAAGACTCTTCTTCCACACTGTTAAAAAAAAATAGACTCATATCAAAAACTAAGAAGACAGACTATCGGGATTTAGAAATCAAGAGAGATGTGCTTACGGAATCGAACTACGATTAAAGAAAGAAGGGGCGATCGATCGCTGGCCGAAAACCCTAATTTTAGGAATTGGTTTCTTCATCTCCTTCTCTCTCTCTCTCGCTCTCGCCTTGGGGATGATTGTTTACAGATTTTGCTGTAGTTTTTAGTTTTTGTTTTTGAAAAAACTACTTTTAGCCAATCAAGTTTTTGGATAAATAGATTTCCTATAATCTAGGGAAACTGGTTTTTGAAACAAACTGTTATTTCTAAAGAAAAACCAAAAACCACTTTTTTCAAGTTTCTACAACAACATCACGTTAGTTTCTCATCTTATACCCTTTTTTTTTAAGTTGACAAAAATGATTTTTTTCCATTTATGCATTAAATGATTGTTTCCTAGTTTTTAGATTTTGGTTTCTGGTTTTTAGTTTTTGGTTTTTGGTTTTTAGATTTTGGTTTTTAGTTTTTGGTTTTTGGTTTTGTAGTAGATTTTGGTTTTTCAAAAAAGCATGAATGGTTGTTTTACATTTTTGGTTTTCAGCTTTTGGTTTTTGATTTTTATATTAACAAAATGAAAATTTTGTTAATCATAATTTTTTTCATGAAAAAATATAAATATAAAATACCATCATTAAAACACACATAAAATTATTTCATAAAATTATCTAAAAAAAAATATTTTTAAAAATTGCAAATACAAAATAAAATTATCGCGAATCTCATAAAGATGCAGAAATTTGATTTCGAATGCCTTCCATATAGTTTGCTTGAGTGTTATTATGCTTTTCGTCTTCATCTGAATCAGAATCCGATAAAAATGCAGAAATTTGATCTCGAATGCCTTCCATATAGTTTTCTTGAGTATTATTATGCTCTTCGTCTTCATCTGAATTTGTTTTGTTATGTAGTACTTTAAGTGTGCGTAGTTCCAGCTCTTGTATTAACAAACCAAGTCAAATATATAGTTGTATTATTGATTTTTGAATATTATTCCTATGTAGCTGTAAATTAATTTCTATTATATTTTAAATAAATATAGGGATTTAAAATATTGTACACACAGTGTATAATATATATATACTAGGTATAGGTAACAGCATGTCCATATTGCATCAACAATATATATATATATATATATATATATATATATATATATATATATATATTTAATTTGGTAGTTTACATCAATCTATTATTAGTTAATGATAACATTCTAATATTATAATAGTTTTTGTTCAATATTTTTTTGTTATGTTAGCATAGATGTATATGCCATAGGATTTGTTTTGTATAGTAGTATAACAAAAGTAACGTTGATTTTCGTTGGGTTAAGCAATCAGGTCAAATATATACTAGTGTTGTTGTTGATTTTTGAGTATTATTCCCTATTTCATTTTATTAAATAACAGTTTTAGAAATAAAAGTAAAATCATCGACCAAAAACTACAAAAACATGGTTTTTGGTTTTTGCTTGAAAATAGGTAGTTATAGAAAAAACTAGTTTCCTTACATTTTAGGAAAGCTATTTCTCAAAAAGCTTGATTGGCTTAAGTTTTAGTAAAAATATATTTTTAACATGTATAATACAAAAATGATTTATATTATGAACATTTTTAGATTTGTCATGAAAATCAAATTAATTATTTAAGTTACTTTTATGTAAAATTAATTTGCATGTTTTGTTAATAATCTGTTGGTATTATATTATTTTAAAATTGTGATATATTCTTTTAGTTATTATATGTGTGTTTAAAAATACATAAATTAAGTTATAAGTTAAATATTTTAAAATAATATAAAACTAAAATAAATCAGTAATCAAATTTTAGGAAAACAAATACTCTAAAGAAAAAAATAAACTTCAGAAATCTATTTTTTGGTTTAATTAAATTTGGGTTTTTAATTTATTTTTATTTCAACTTCAAATAAGTAATTAAAAATTAAAAATCATCATTCAAAAATTTTCTGAAAACTAAAATGACAGTAAAATCAAAATTAAAAAATAATGCTTCAAAATTAAAATAAAATATTTATTAAATGTAAAAGCTAAAATTAAAAACTAAAAACAAGAATCTGTCATTCGTGTTTTTTCAAAAACTAAAATCTACTTCAAAATCAGAAACCAAAACCTTAAAACCAAAAGCCAAAAACTAAAAACCAAAATCTAAAAACCATCCAAACAATCGTCACCTTAGCTTTTTTCGTTTTCAGCTTTTAGTTTCTCTATATTTTTGCCGCCAACAGCAGAAATAGAGCCACATGTTTTTACTCAAAACATTTAAAACTTTTAAGATTACCTAAATATTTCTTCACAAGTTTTAATAGATTGCACTTACAAAATACATTAGCATCATTTTGACTTTTTAAACAGGCTAAAATAATTAAAATACATTTATGTTCTTATTAATCACATTTACTTAATCAATATTGTTTGAGATAAAAAAAAATTATTTATAAGATTAATGTGTATTGCAATTAACATGAAATTTAAAGTAAGTAGAAATACATTTGAGATTTTTTCTGTAACAAAAAAAAGCTGTCAAAATGATAATTTTTGTAAAACAAATAAGGGCTTTTTGCAAATTTGACTCAAAACTCCAAGTCAAACACAAAAGTAACCTCTTCTTTTGTCTCATCTTGTTTTTGTCCTATTCACCCCACATCTTCATTTTATTTACGAAAATGCCATTTATTTGTTTTTTGAATTTTTTTTCGAAAATGACATTTTTACTCTCTCAACCTCATCATCTTCAAGTATTTACAACATTGCCATTGCCATGAATACTCCCAACAACCTTGTACAACCCAACAACCTTGTACAACCAAGGTTTGAAGCTTTTAATGCACTTAAAATCGATATCCATACTCTCTTTCTCAATTGTTATGAACTAAA